TAGATACTTGTTATTCTTCCTCCTCATTTGTTTTTCCTTATAATAGGGAAAGGGTTACAAAACAAAGGGTAAGACCAGCAAAGTGAAAACTTCAGTGAAGGTTTGATGATAACTGAGCTGCTCTTAGAGCATTATCACAAAATTGGAAGACTTCAAAAAAACAAAAGCGGCTCTTGGTTTTGTTTCTAAGTCTGCTTGCAGTTTGGCTTGGGAGAATTTTGGTCAGCTCCATATCCTCTGCACATGACAAGAATGTAAAGAGCTGTGTATCGAGTTTCCTATTTGGACTAAACATAGCAATCCTGTATTAGCTGTGTAGGAACATCCCAGTGTATGATAAAGTCCCTTGTGAAACAGAAATAGCTGATCTTCAGCTTTCATGCTTGTAAGCCTGGTGGCATGGAGATGCAGAGGGTGACTAATGCTGGAAAGCACAGTTGTCTGTGGCTGGACAGAGCTGGGGATTTTGTTTTAAATACCCTTTTCTCAGGACATCAGGCACCAGTAGGTATGCAACTATCATGATGTTCTCCCTGAAAATGAGACTACATGCAGTTAGCAGAACCCCCCAGAAGACAGCACCTTGTTAAATACAGAGGTGGATACCCATATGCTGAAGCAGGCTATTGTTGCTTATGAAGACACTAACCCCCAGCTGTACTTAAAAAAGCACAGTAAAATATATAACAGAACTTGATTACTGCAATGAAGTTAGTCTTCTGGGCACTATGATTTAGTAGACTGTCCTAGGACGACATCAAGTGATGATGCCCATTTTTGCCCTTTTTTTTTTTTTGGGGGGGGGGCGGGGGGTGAGGCAGGGGAACTGCTATGTGAGAGCAGGATGGATATCTTGTGCTGTCCCTTGTCTGTACCTTGGGTGAAAAGAGTTTCCACCTTGTTCTCAGCAAATGGGTGTGGGGTGTGCTTTCAGTGGAGAAGCTAGAGAGAGAATGTGTACCCTCTTTGAGTTCAGTTTCTAAGACTCCCTAGAGGAGATGAGGAGCAACCCAGATTCCTTCATGTTGTCTCATCTACAACTGCTTCTGTTTCTAGGATTTATCTTGGTCTTAAAGAAACACAACAAAACAAATTCAGATTCCATCATCCTCCTCTAAACTCGGCTTTTTCTACAGGCAATTTGTCCTCTTCACAGTGTGCCTCCCTTCCCTTCCCCACATTACTGCATACAGTCCTTGTTGTTGGCTCTTCTTAAAACAAGTGCATGTTTGTTTTCCTGGCTCGTGACCTGTGGATGTGGTATGTTATGCATTTAAACTTATATACATATGGAGAGAAACCCTTGAACCCACAGCATGAGGCTGCTGGTTTGGAGGGGTTGTATTTAATTTTATTATATTGACTCTGATGGGTGGTAAACCTAGTCATAGGTGCTCTCTTGCTTGGTGCCCTGTAGGAACCTCCAGAGATGTGGGTCTGGTGGAGCAGCCTGGCTTCAGTTGACTGACCATCCTGATGCTGTTCTGTTAAAGCTCTTGGTGTGCTCCTCAGCCACTTTGGGTCTAAACCGGCTCACCTCAAACATGGTGGTGATCTTTGTCATGGGTTTGGCAGCCAGCTCCTTCAGTTTCCGGGCATCGAAGCGTGGCTTATGTAGGAGGAGGGGTAAGCGGCGGGGAAGAAAGAAGCTTCCTTCCTTCCGCAGCTTCTTCTCTTCTGCTTGTTGCTTCCTCTCCTTGTTGACTGTCATGTGGTATAAAACAGCATCCCACATCCTTGTGGCCACCGATTTAAACGGCCTATGGTCTTGACTGATGATTGCTTGCGAGCTGTCCTTCTCCTTGCTCCCTTCTTCCTGTCCCAGCTTTTCTGTCTGGGGCTCTGGGAAGCTGGGTGCTTCTGGCTGCACCATCAAGTGCTTCCTGAGGCGATGCCAGCCACCAGCGTTAGCCCCAGGAGGTCTTGCTGCTTCTGCCGACGATAGTGCTGGCTCAGCTTTGAGGGGAGCACTGGTGTTTGGTAAGCTGGAGGTCAACTGTGGTTGAATAACATCTTCTGCCTTGGTGTCTGTGGAGGTGGCCCTGGTACTGTCAGCTTGTGCTGGGTGTGCTTGTGTCCAGGGAGTGCTGGGTGTTGATGGTGTTAGGGTGTCACCATCTTGCTTGGGTAATTCAGGAGCTCTCGCTGATCCAGATATTTCAGTGTTGCTTCCATGGGTTGTAGATTTATGGGCATGGGCATCGGACCTGCTGGGCTTGGGTGAAGGGGCCTTGATGGAGTCTTCAGTAGGAGCAGGCCTGGGAGCTTGATTAGGAGGCTCTGCCTCTGTGGCAGAAAGGAGGGGAGGCTCCAGCGTGGGAGCCGTGGCCTTGCTGTCACTGAGCAGGGTGGGTATCTGCCCTGGAGATGGTTTGGAGCGACTTGTTTCAGATGCCAGAGAAGAAGGCTTTTTGTCTTCATGGCTGACGGTTCCTTGGGTCTGATTTGATGTGGGCATCTTAGCCTTGGGTGGCTTGACGCTGTGGAAATAAGCGTGCGCCTTGGTGACATAGGTAACCTCTGGTGCTGTTTCTTTACTGGGTGTACTAGAAGGAGGAGGCTGGGACAAAACAGATATCGAAGGGTCGCGTGGAGAGGGAAGGTGGGTGTCCGTGCCTTCGGGCTGCTGTGGAGTCTCAGGAGCTCCTGGCTTGTGTAGCAGGGGCATGGCTGGGGAGGTCGTGAGCACGAGGTGTTCGGCAATGCGCCTCTGCTCAGTGACCTTCAGCGTGAAAGGCTTGCTCTTTCGGAAAGGGGAAGGGACGCGGTGGGTGATGGGCTTGATGGAGAGGTGGGTTGGGAGGCTGGTGGAGGGGGGTGCTGTGGTTTTGAGGGTCTCTGCTGAGGGAGTGCTCTCATTGTGCTCTAGGTCAGGGCTGGCCTCGTCCACGGGCGAGAGGCTGGATCGAAAGGACTTGGCTTGCTCCGAAGCTAGGATGGCGTTTTTCTTGGCTGCCTTCTTCAGCAGCCTCTGGAGACGCAGGTTGTCCTTCCCAGGCTTTGGTAGGGTGGGAGGGGGAGAAAGGTGGTGGTGGGTGGGAACAGGCTGGATGGAGGATGATACTGTTATCAGCATGGTCATCTCCTGGAAGAAAACACAAAGCTTAGAGCTGGTATGGGCTTAGCCCTGAGCTAGACTTTGAAATACTCATACATAAGGCTGCCTCTTTCTCTCTCTGAAAGCTATGACTATGGAGTCAGTATTGTGGGAGAAGAGCATCAGTCTTGGTTTCCTTAGTCTCCCAAAGTAGACTCAGCCAGTCTTGAGGTTGCTGTGGCAGGGCAAGAGATGTGCTGGGGGAAGCTGTATTGCCAAACCTGGAGCCCTCCTGCTCCTGGTGTTAGTGCAAAATCCAGCGAGAGCTCCTTGGGACAGCAGGTGTTTGTGTCTTGGCCAGTCCTAATGGGATTTAGAAGGAAATATCAAGAGAAACAGAGCAGGCCTGAAATTTTGAAGCTTTGAAACATTCTCCAGAGGCACAAATCAGGAATGTTTCATGGCTTTCCAAATTAATACTCTGATACAATGTTATGTACAACAAAACAACCATAAACTACATGTCATTTGAGTCAGTCAACCCTGGCCTTAATTGATTTCAGCTGGCATAAAGGCATCCTGTGCAATGCAGGACTTTAAAGAAGTTGTGTTTATCTGGTGAGAAAGTACTTTGTCACAACGCTAACTCTGACTGGCCTTTCCTTGCTGCGTCAAACACAGCGGCAACCTTTTCCTTCTGCACTCAATTTAAGATAAAACCTGGTCTTCTCTTTACATTGGGGAGCCTTGCCACTGTCCTGCCTGTATCACTCATTCTTCAGTGAAACAGAAATGAGTTGTTGTCTGGGTCAGGTCTTGTCCCCAACGGCAATTGCAGCCAGACCCTCCTTGACCAACACCGTGCTGCTCCTGGGGGGATGCACAGCTGCTCTTCCTGTTCTTTGCCTCTAACTTGCCATCATGTCCTCTACTTTCTGGTAAGCACCGGTTAGATTTCCTGCACAGTGGAGCTAAGGGTCTGTGTTGTGGATAGAAAGATAAAACTTGTCTCAGTTCTCCCCTTTCTCTTCCTGAGCAAGGCTGGGTTACACCAAACACTCAACCTGCAATGACTCGTTGGCAGCCCCCAGAAAGAAATCTGACTCTACCCTGGCTCTTGCTCAGCACAGAGTTGCTGAGTTTTGCTATGAAATGAGCCATAAATCACTGAGCCTCTTAATCCCCAGTGCTGGATGCAACTGAGCATCCTGAAACGAGGAAGAGGAGGTGGGGTGATGTCAGGGTTGCTCAGAGGGGCTATTGCATGTGCTCTGCTCAGTTCCTGGTGGCTCCCAACCTGCTCTGGTTAGTGTAGGTGTATAGCATGATATCTACTGCGTGGGAAAACTATCCCAAATAAAACTCTCCAAAGCACAGAACAGCTATCTGTGCTTGAGTGCCTGGCGTTGCCTTTGGGCTTGCAGTGCTGCTGTCAGCATCAGGCTGGGAAGCTGATCGGTACGGAGCAAGCAGGTAGTATATCTGTCAAAACCGGTTGTGGAAGGGGGGAAGAAGGATGACTCATCTTTTTTTAAAAAAAAAAAAACATAGCAGCAAATGAAAGCACTGAAGAGGTGGCATGTGGGCCATAAAGCCTTCAAGGTCAAGCCTGCACCATGGTGGACAAGCTGTCCTCTAGAGCAGAGGCTGTGGTGGGCAGGGTCTGGGCAGTGTCTAGCAAGGGGAGGGGCACTGCTACCAACTGATTTCCTCAGCTCCATGAGGACATGGACCTGTTGGAGAGGGTCCAGAGGAGGCCACAAAAATGATCTGAGGGCTGGAGCACCTCTCCTGTGAGGACAGGCTGAGAGAGTTGGGGTTGTTCAGCCTGGAGAAGAGAAGGCTTCGGGGAGACCTTAGAGTGGCCTTCCAGTACTTGAAGGGGGCTTATAAGAAAGATGGGGACAGACTCTTTAGTAGGGTCTGTAGCAATAGGACAAGGGGTAATGGTTTTAAACTAAAAGAGGGTAGATGCAGACTAGACACAACAAAGAAATTTTTTACAATGAGGGTGGTGAAACACCGGAGCAGGTTGCCCAGAGAGGTGGTAGATGCTCCATCCCTGGACACATTCAAGGTCAGGTTGGACGCAGATCTGAGCAACCTGATCTGGTTGAAGATGTCCCTGCTCACTGCAGGGGGTTGGACTAGATGACCTTTAAAGGTCCCTTCCAACCCAAACTATTCTGTGATTCTATGATTTATTTTGGCTGCAGGCATGAGAAACCTCCTGCTGTTTTGGCGAGGGGACTCGGAGGGGATTTGTGCCAGTTGCGGGTGACAACTGCTGGGCATTCCCAGTGGCTTATTGGCTTCATGCCTTAGGCGCAAAGCTGGGATTAGGGCTTGCTCTGTTCTACAAGCTACTCTTAGAAACAAGTCTGCACTGGCCCAAAAAAAGGCTGAGAGCCCATTCCTTCATCATATACCTGCTCTCCTCCCCAATCTTGTGGATATTCTAGATTCTTCTGGGTCAGAAAGCCAAAATGCCTTGGTTGGAGAGCTGCATGCTTGCTTTTGTGCAACGCTACTCTGGTTCTGTTTGTATAGGAATTGGTAACTGCTTGTGCGATTTTTATCTGCCGCAAGGTGAGTAGTACACGTGTCTGATGCTAAGATTGATTGTGGAATGATTTCATCTGCTCCTGTTTAATGTGGTCCCATGGACAGCCTGTACTACAAGATGAGCTGTGGTCTAGCAGCACTGGTAAAGCAGAATTATAAGGTTGACTTGCTTCAGGCTTGTGTTGGGAATACTAAAGAGGCAGGGTAATGAACTTTCCAACTACTGATCAGCTCTTTGAGTGTTTTCCTTGTCCTATGGACTACTGCACCTCAGAAAAATGTAGCTTCCCACATGGATCAGAGCAGGATCTTGCCCAGGATTTGCTGCAAAGTGCCAGATGCTACTGAGGAGGGCATGGGGCTTTTTGTAGTGGGAAGTTTAGATATAATCTGCATGCACTAGGAAAACTTTCCCTCTGCTCCCAAAGTTAGAGGCTGCTTTGTGCCCAATAACCTCAGGATTTGTGGTCTCTTACAATAGTCTGTGCTCTTAAAATCATTCTTGCTACTATCTCAGTATCCCATCTGACTTGAAACCTGCTGTGCTATGGGTCTTGGAGACCTTGTGGGTGGTAACTTCCACGGCATGTGACTGTGCCAGAGTCTGTGTGTTTGACTACTGAGGCAGAGAGATGCTAAGAGACAGCAAAAGGAAATCAGCTCTTAATTTATTTGCCTTCTCTGTCATGCTTGGCTTTGTTTGAGTCTCCTTCAGAGTTTTGTGTGCTCAGGAGAAATTCTGTGACAAGCAAGATTTGTGAGCGTTTTCCCCTTTGCTTTTGCTTCATTATGCAGCAAAGGGATACATGGACTTGCTTTATTGCCAGTGGAAAGGCCAGAGCTGAAAACCCAGGGATAATGGGGGAAGATATTGCCTGAGAAACTTGGGTGGGTTTGTGATAAGCTGGAAGGAAATTGAGCTAGAAGCTGAGCCAAGAGGCTTTCAAAGGGTTAAGTTTCCCTGCTGCTGGTTGAGTGCCCATGGGTGGAGGGGAGGTCACCCACTCTTGGACCCCTCCGCTCCATCTGCAATCAACCCCAAACCGGGAATGGTGGGGAGAATGTCAGCATGGAGGAGTCATTTATCACACGATGGAAAAGTCATTTGCACGCTGGAGTCCCTCGGCCGCACCAGCTGTCACGCGTGGAGCAGATGGAGAGCTGCAGGAACCCGATACTGCTGCAGATGGTCCTGAGCAGAGAGCTGTGGCTGCCGGGGGCTGTAGGAACACGCTCTCTGCTTTAGTGGCTTTCTCAAGCTTGGAAGGAAACCTGCTAATCTCCTTCTTGGGAGGAGGTGGCTGGGCAGGAGTACATCCTTCCCTCTGCCTGGGCAGCCGTGACCTCTGCCGGGTGCGCAGCCCTCAGCATCTACTCTGCCATGGGCATGTAGTGTTGGTGACTGTCCTGCAGTGCTCAAGCTTTACGGGCTGATTCACAGGGCTTTGTGGAAATGGGTGGGGAAAAAAACCCCTGTAATTGCTAGACAAGATGCAGGCTCTGTAGAGCCCAAGGTATGACTCGTGGCAGGCCAAACGGTATACATAAACTTTGTTGTTTTCTTGTCTTGCAGCTGAGCTTGGTCCTGGCTTGATGCAACCCTCAATGCCACTATTTCCTCTGCTCCACAGAAGATAACTGAAGGATGTTTCTCTTCTCCTGCCTGATGTCAGTCTGCTTTGGCGCAGCCTGACTCCTCTCGGGGTGTGAGCAATACCCCACGCCACCTCCGGATGGATGAAAGGAACTAGATCAGCTGGCAAAACCCATCCCTGTTTTAACCTTCTATGTGACTCTCTGCCTCTTTTTTATTTTATTTTTTTTTTTAAATCTGGCTCTGCTATGGAGGTGGGAGGCTGTGAGTCTGCTCCCTCTCACCCTCTATTCTTTCTCAAGTGTTGGAAGAGAGGGATCTGCTGCCCCGCTGAGCTGGCAGGGCTTTGGCTACATGATGAAGAATTTCTACTTTTGTGGCTCTTGATGGTGGGAGAGGGGGAGCTCAACAGCAACCCAGTAAAAGAATGAGTGTTTGAAAGGAGGGCAATGGGCAGATCCTGAGTGTGAGGAGACTGCAAAGACCACTTGTTACCCTCTTGGTGCCAGCTGTGGGTAAAGTCTTCCCCTGTTTACAATGCAGCCTCTGTCCCCCTGCAATATCTGCTTTGAGGGACTTCCATCCACTGGTCTCTCTGTGTACATCAAATCCCATTCAACTTAGTCCTGGGCTTTTTTTTTCTTTAGTTCCCAGATCATCCTTTAATCATGGTTACATACCCATGCCAAAATGTTCCTGCCACTTTTCTGTCTTGACAGTGGCAATAGCAGCTTTGTTTCAAAGAGCTGCTACCTTCTGCTCCTTGTCCAACATGGATTGGAGGTCTCCTTTCCTAGGTGAGGAGTGCTGACTGCTGGTATTATCTCCTTTCTCTGGGAAAAGGGATTTCCTTGTTCTCTAACCTGTGGGCTCCGGTGCCAGTGATTGAAATGCTTTCTCTGAATACCAGAGGTGGTGGGCACATTGATAACCTGCCTGCTACGCTCCTGGAGGTGGACAGGATATCTGGGAAACGGCTGCTGCTCCCATGCTGGAAGCTGCCTTGGTGAAAGGGCATCCTAGTGAGTTGTCTAGGGAGGCCAGGGCTGGCTGTGAACATGGGGAAACTGAGCCCCTAAAGAGTGGCACTCTGGCCTTGGGCCTGAGGTCTGTAAATCAGGGCTGTTTCTGAACTCTCCCACATCTTCCTACTTCATGGTGTTAGCATGTCACCCATCCCTTCTTTAAAGTCTTATTCCTACCCTTTTCCCATGTCAACATAATTTTGCAACTTGTTTCTGCCCTCCTGGAGGGAGGGCGGGCAGCTTGTCTCTCCTGCATCAGTGTGCTTTCTGCTTAAATTTACTGTGTCCTGGATTTTGGTTTTTTGTAAGCATTTAATAAAATTTGAGGAAGATGTTATAGCGATGGCAACTCTGAGGATTTTGTTGATGTAAGAGTTCCTGCAGCAAAGCTGTTTTCCGAGACCTTGTAACTCTCCGCTTGAGCAGAAAGTGGAGGAGAAGAAACATCAGGCTGAGTGACAAGAGGAAAAGGAGCTTGACGTATGCAGGAAAGGGGCTTTCTCTGTGCCTGCCCTATTCAGGAGATCCTTGTCATCTTGATGCATTCTTCATTGTTGGGGGTAATTGACTGTAAAATGGGAATGAGTGGTGTTTTGGGGGAGAGATGGAACAGCATGCAGAAGACTTCCCAGGGAGCAATGAGCTAGGAGAAGCACAGAGCTTAGATCCCCAACTAATAGACCTGAGCAATGTCACCAGCTTCAACCAAAATCACTGGCGATGTCAGCTCATATATTAAAAAAAAAAAATAATCCTCTATAGCCTGCTTATACAGCTTAGATGAGGTCGTTATAGTTGTCTGTACAGGAACCCAGCACTCTAATGAGCTGACTACCCTATCTGGAACCATCTAATGAAAAAACCTTTTTAGGGAGGTGACCTTCCAAGTAGTCGAGACAGCAAATAGTTTGCGCTATCCTTACCTATGCTTTCCTAAAGCGTTAGAAAGAGGAAAGTTATCAGATATCACTTCTTGCTGTCATCTTTCTGCTTATTGGTACCCTCGTCCTCTCCTTCCTCTGCTTCAGCTCCTCCTGGAGGTAGGAATTCAAGGAGTCAGTGTTCCTCGGAGAGCACTGGGGAGCATGGACACCATCTGGCCCCATCTCCCTCCCTTCAGCCCTTCCTCTGCCATGCTGGGATTTCAAGTGAGGCCAGAGCAGCAGGAATAGGGTGTACAGAGATGTCCTGGCTTGAGGTGAAAGCATTGTTACTATGTAAACTGGTTGCACCAATTTGTTTCAACTCTGGTCTGCAGTTGGCTGGTAAAAAGGATGGCCAGAAACTTCTCCTGTTACTATTCCTGTGCCCCGCCAGCTTGGAGACCGCATAAAATCCCCCAAAAGCTGCTTGTGTGAGATTCCTTCTCTAAGGAGGGATAATTTGCAGGACATATTTTCCCCACTTAAAGCCCACATGGACGTAGATGTGGTTTCAGCAGAAACAATGGCCGTAATTCAGGTTCTGGTCGCAGCACAGCAGTGAGCAGGTTACGTGGAAGCTCTCCAGGGAGACCAGAGTGCTCTGGTGGTGGTAAGGAACCAGGGAAGGACCTGGCTTGGAGCAGATCTGTGTAGCTCTTTATGAGGTACCTATATCTGCCAGGGGAAGTTTTTCTCCAATTAAATTAACTTTATGATGTGCTGTTTCTCCTCCCAAAGTAACATGGTGTGCAGGTGGTGGTGGGAGTGGTAGGGGGGCTACCAAAATGGTGAAAGACACCCCCCCCCCCCCCCCCAAACGCAGG